AAAAAAAAAAAGAATAAACCTTTTCATAGGAAGTACAGACTAAGGCTGGAAACATATGGATCCTTTAATCATCACAGACTCTACTACACGTCAGTGAGAATTGAGAGGTGTCTGCTTATGGCAGAAAGTTCTTCTCTATCAGCATAATATGTGCTGTGTCTACATATTCAAACACTTAGAATTTTACTCCAAGCTCCATCTCTATGCAAATGCCATTTTTCTGTTTATTTCAACTACTCATGTTGTAAATCACTTTTAATCCTCACCTGAGGATATATTTTTATTGATTTTTTTTTTACGGAGAGAGGGAAAAAGAGGTAGGAGGAGGGAGGGAAGGAGAGAGAAAGAAAGAGAGGTAAGAGAGAAGCATTGATTGGTTGCCTCCCATATGCACCCTGATTAGGGATCAAACCTGCAACCTAGGTAGTGCCTTGACCGGAAACTGAACCCGCAACATTTTGGTGTATGGGATGACACTCCAACCATTAAGCAACCCAGCCAAAGTATAAGTCATTTTTAATAGTCTGTATAAAACTAAAAGAATTCTAATTAGATGTAGGATTCTTGGTTTAGTACCTTCCACAAACATGATTTGTATACATAATGTTGAGAAAGAGGGAAAGTGTTTAAAATCCTAAGAAGGAAACTTGTCAGCAAATTCTTAGGTGTATCAAATACATGCAAGATTGCAACCCAGTTAAAATCTTAGAAATGCTGTATTCCCTTTAGGGAGAAAAAAGTCAGTATTTTGTAAGTGTGTGTGTCGGCCTTATTACTGTGAGTCGCTTGGTTTTGATTACTCATACAGTGGATTTTGTTAGTGCTGTGCACTCAATATTCCTAGCATACAATAGAATTGCACTTAGTGCCTTTTCCTTTTTTTTAAAAAAAGAATGTCAAATTTCATCTTTCAATTACTGTTTACATTCATTATTATTCTGTATTAGTTTCAGGTATACAGCATAATGGTTAGACAATCATATATATTTTACATAGTGTTAACTCTGATATTTCTAGTGCCCATCTGGAACCATAGATATTTATTACAATATTATTGACTATATTCTCTGTGCCGTACTCTACATCCCTATGACTATTTTGTAACTACCAATTTGTACTTCTTAATCCCTTCACCTTTTCACAAAGTGTCTCAACCCCCCTCCCCTCTTGCAACCATCAGTCTGTTCTCTGTGTCTATGAGTCTCTGAATTCTGTTGGTTCGTTTATTTTGCTCCTTAGGTTCCACATATAAGTGAAATCATATGGTATTTGTCTTTCTCTCACTGACTTATTTCACTTAGCATAATACCCTCTAGGTCCATCCATACTATGGCAAATCATAAGATTTCATTCTTTTTAAAAGATACAAAAATACATTTCTTTAAAAAATACATTTAAAAAATACATTTCCCTAAAACTTTTTTGTTAAAATAGCAGCAGTGAATTATAAACTAAAAAAACACACAGAACAGTTTTGTTCTAATTATGTTCAAAACCAAAGTTCCAGTTAATATATTATTACATATGTAACAATAGCACAATAAATAGCTGAAATAATATAAATACAAAATCACATTTACCTTTGTGTGAACAGTGAATTTTACTTTATCTCTCTCACTAAGAGCATCAGAAATGTCCACCTGCAGAGCAGCATCACTTTGAAGATCTACATTTATTGCTTTAAGCTAGAAAAAGAAAACAATACCTTAATAAAAATTCTGTGGGCTTTTATATTATTTCATTCTTCTCCCAGATAATAAGATAATGCAAAAAAAACCCTAAAGTAACAGAAGACCCTTAAATCTAAAAAACACTCAAGTTCATTTGAACTATATACATATTTTGGGGCAGGTACTTTGGGTATGTTATTATCTTAACTAATTTTCATTCTGTACCATTGAACTATGTTTTGTATAAATCAATGTATTAACTATAATTGATTCTTTAGTTTCACCCCAAAAGTAAACTGTCTTCCAAGAAAAGGGTTCATTAAAGTTCAAATGCTCTAAAATTAAGGAAGGTACCTACCTTTAAAAAAAAGAAAATAAAAAGAATTGGCCAATAATTTTAACTCTATTACTTATTTTAATTCAGGGATATACAATAAAACTATTAAGTATAGTTAAGTATATTACATATATGTAAAGTACTAAAAAATGCTAACACACAGAGCTCAATAACTCCTGTGATATGAATGAAATTTCACATCTTACTCTGTAAGCTTTTATACATTAGAAGAACTGGATATATTCTCTCTTTAGTGCTTACATTTACTTGTCCATGAGAGGACTTTTCCACTTACAATTCTTTTTTCCCCCCCTCACCTGAGGATATGTTGTTTTTTTAAATTGACATTGAAAGAGAGGAAGGGAGAGAAACATCAATTGGCTACCTCTTGCAAGCATCCCGACCCAGGATGGAATCTAAAACCTAGGTAATGTGCCTTGACTGGGAATCAAACCTGCAACCTTCTTTTTTTGGTGTATGGGACGACACTCAAACTGACTTAGCCATCTGGCAAAGGCTCCACTAACAATTCTTAAATTTCATTAATTTTTCTTCCCCTTTAAACAAATAAACATTTTAACATGGTTGGGAAATTTGGAGACATATAAAAGAATCACATACACTAAAAGAGAAAATAAGTCTCAGCCAGATGCAAAGATATGAAATATTTAAAGTTTAATAACTAGCCTGCTTCAAAAATTCTAGTTGTAAAACCCAGAAGTTACTTTGCAAATTTCACCTAGTCATTAGCATTTCGAATTTCATTTACAATGTAAATGGAAAAAATGCTGGAAACAAAATTGTTTATACTGTATGACCACAATTACGTTTTTAAAAATGTATACATAAATGGCTTATTGGAAATACAAAATATGAATAGCAGTGGATTTTCTTCTTTATATATTCCTTTACTCTCCCAATTTTCCAAAATATGCATGTATTGCTGTTATAAATAGGCAAAAAGCGTTCTTTAAACAGAAATCCTATTAAAAGATTAATTTTGCGAAGTTTTTCATTAAATAGAGTTGTTTAACTTCATTAGTAATGAAAAAAACATCACTATTTCATTTTTGCACTATTGGTTCTAGACTGAGTAGACATATTTTAAAAAATAAATCCCATTACATAAAATCAAAGATTCATAGAAGAAATTAATCACTATTTAAATTGCAAGATACTATCTATGGTGGCAGTTAATAAAAACTTTACTAATAACTTTAATAAGTTTACATTAAGTTAAATTTCAATAGTATCATATTTTTAAAAGTTTATAATATAAACTTACATAAAACCATTTAATTATCTTTAAAAATTGTTATTGTACTCAGTTCTACTTGTAGCCCGTTGTCTGACAAAAGAAAAGAAATGAAAATTTGCCTTGATTTACTAAGTTTTCTTTTTCATTTTCCAATTATCTCATTGCCTCTGCAATATTGGAAACATTAGAGAATACTTTGTTCTTTGGTATCCTTGCTTCTATTCAGTCTTTTTTAGGTCTTCATACTGCCCTTTCTATTTCTTTTCCAACTCCTTACCATAATTCTAGTTTAAGAAACCTGTTTCCTTTTTTCTATTTACTCACATACAGGCTACTTTTAAGATGCTTATTGTGGTAGGCTCAAGAATGGCTCTCCCCAAAATATCTACATACAAATCCCTGGAACCTGTGGATGTTACCTTATATGGTAAAGAAGTACTTTTTGCAGGTGAAATTAAATTAAGGATTCGAGGATGGGGAGATGATCATGGATTATAAAGCTAGCCAATATAATAAAATTACTGCCCCCAAATTACCCCCCCACATCACTACAAAAATATGACTGAAAGCTAATCTGCTATCATATTTCTTCAATTATAGGTGCATATTTTCCACATTTTAACATATCTGAAATAGGAATGCCTTGCAACTGATGGCAAATTACAGTTTAACTGGCATTTTTTCCCCCTTAGTGGGGAAAGATATAAAAGAAAATATATCTTCCAATCAATTGCACCCTATGTTTTTTGTTGGTTTCAGAGAGAGGAATAGAGAGAGAGACAGAAACATCAATGATGAGAGTCACTGATCGGCTGCCACCTGCACACCTCCCCACTAGGACTGGAGCCTGAAACCCGGACATGTGCCCTGACCAGGAATTGAACTGTGAACTCCTGGTTCATGGGTTGATGCTCAACCACTGACCCTGGCCAGCTGGGCAACTGCACCCTAGATCTGATAAAGTATCACATTGTAAGTTTAGTGTTAATTACATAAAATGTACAGATTTTCTTCCTTGTTTAAAGTCAGTAATTTTAGAGTGTGTTTATTAGGGGTAAGAATCAAAGCAAACAACTTGTGATTCATCAACAGTTTGAGGAAATTCTAATTAGATTACATTCACGGTTTAACCCTTATCTGGGTCAATAAACACTGTACTATCTTTTGCCAGAGACTGACTAGGTTAAACATTTTTGTCATGGTCAAGAGAAAGACTAGAAAACAGATTAAGCAACACAAATACAGCATCATATAGAAAAATAATTTAAAGACACTGCCCTGTTGATAGATTAATTCTCCACATATAATTATTTAGTAAAGAAGACATTCACTACTAGTTTACTACACTGACTCATTTACTATAAACTATCTACCTTAGAACCATTCCTAAAATATTAGTTGTTTATCTTTTGCCAGAAAAGCAAACGTATAGAGGTGGATGGAGGAGGAAATGAAGGAAAATAATTTTATTACAATAGCCTCCCAACCGGTCTCTTGCTTCTGCCCTTTTCCCTCTTCAATTTATTCCTTATAGAGCCACCAGAATGATCTCATTAAACTAGAAATCATTCTTCTGCTCAAAGCCTAAGAGGGTCCCACTTGGAGAAAAGCCAAAGTCCTAACAGTGGTTTACCAGGGCCTATATAATCTGCATCTGACATGGTCCCTGACTAACCTACTATTCCTCTGGCTTACTGCCACCCTACCATATGGCCTTGTTGTTCCTTAAACAAAGACATGCTGCCACCTTAGGCGTCTTTGCACTTACTGTTCCCTCTACCTGGAACATTCTGCCCCCAGACATCTATCTGCATGGCTCACTCCCTCATTTCCTTCATGTTTATGAAATGTCACTTCATGAAGGCCTTATCTGGCCACCCTATCTAAAACTGCAGCTCCTCCCACACTCCAACAATCCCTATCCCTCTCATTTTTTTTTCATAGCACTTGTTCATCATCTACTATATTTTATTGTTTTTTGATGGCCTTCCCTGACTAGAATGTCAGTTCTTTGAGGACAAAGATTTGTTTGTTTTGTTCACTGCTATACTCCCAGGGGTAGCTCTTAACAAATATTCGTTGAATGGAAAGAAAGAGTAGAAAGAAAGGTGGTAACCATAACAGGGCTAAGAAACTGTTTTCAGGCAATTATGGTATAATAAACAAAAAAACCCATGAGAGAGACAGAAGTAAATCCAATTAAGCTCACTAATTCAGGTCAAATTTTAAGTCTATTTAACTCCTAGCCCAGTTATGATTTTGGAAGTCCTGTAATACATCATTTTCATTATTACTCTATGCCCTGTATGCCCAGCATTTGCAATCAGATTTCCTCTTATGTACCATACCAGATACAATAAAACACTACTAGGGTCACATGATAGGTCATTCCAATGTCTTTCTTGCTGGTTTCATCAACACCCATTGCTCTGTTGCCATAGCTGACTTGCAAATTCCCACATACAGGATCAATTCAACCATCAACTTTCTTTGCTTTTACATTTTGAGATGCTGAAGGTGGCTAGAGAAAAGTCCCAACTGGCATTTGCAACCAGATTTCCTCTCATGGACCATATCAGAAACAATAAAACATTATTAGGGTAGTACTAATGGTGTCTAGCTATGTGTTCCCTCCAAGTCAAAGTTATATTACTGGTAGCACAAATATAACCCTTTACTCTTTAGACAATATACTAATATGCATTTATTAAATAAGCTTTTTTTAGCACTTACATGCAAACCACTGTCCTAGACCTTGTGGAGGATATAAGGTGAACAAAAAACCCTTGCCTTCAATCCCTCCAGTCCTGTGACCTTTCCATGTATTTCCAGTCTGTTAGCCCCCTTGCTGCTTCCCTCTTTTCCAATGCACTCCATATGTCCCTCAAATACCTTCCCAATACTTTTCTTTAAAAAACAAAACAAAAAACTTTATTGATTTCAGAGAGAGGAAGGGAGAGGGCAAGAGAGAGAGAGAAACATCAATGATGAGAGAGTCGTCATTGATTGGCTGCCTGCACGCCCCGACAGGGTATTGAGCTTACAACCCAGGCAGTGCCTTGACCAGGAATCAATTGAAGGGCAATCTCCTGGATCCTAGGTCGATGCTCAACCACTGAGTCGCGTTCTGCTGGGCTCCAATACCTTTCTTATTGGTCTTGTCAACTTGCAATGCTCTCGTGCCATACCTGGCTTGCAAATTCCCACACTCAGGATCAGTCAACCATCAACTTTTTTTCTCTTCTCTTTTCTTTTCTCCTTCCTTCCTCCCTTCCTCCCTCCCTCCCTTCCTTCCTTCCCTCCCTCCTTTCTCTCTTCCCTTCCTCTCTCTCTCTCTCTCTCTCTCTCTCTCTCTCTCTTTTTAGAAAGAGAGGGGGAGAGAGGAGAGAAACACTCATCAGTTGCCTCCCCAACCTACAG